TTTCTCTGCAACATCATACTACTGGTTTAAGGAAACAGAGATCATTATTTGAGCATCACAGTCAGGTTGTGGGGTCAAGTTTAGGCCACCTCTTATGGTACTTAATGACATACAGGAGCTGGTGGGGGAGCAACACCCATGTGCCTCTTACCCTTTTTCTTCATTCCACCACTTGTGTAGCTAAATGTAGGTGTCAACAGATATAATTTCCTTTACAACTTCAAAGTAAGCCGTTAGATCAAAATATTGTCGACAACTCAGATTTTTTCATTATTAAAACAACCTGATCACCCACAATATCAGTCTAGCAAATAAGGAAAGCCCTCTTGCACAATTAGCAGTCACACTTCCACTGGTTTTGGTTACAGTTTGTTGAGGCTCTTTGGATTAATAATGTGCGAGAATGAATTTGAAGAGGTAGCTAATCACTGGTACCATGTACTATAGCAGTAGGAGCCACAGGTGAATAATCCTTCAACAAATACATACTGTTAATCTCATAATTGATGCAAAGAACACAGGCACTAGGTTTACTAATTGGTTTTACACAGTACATCACCCAGTCTGACCATCTGATGTCCCAAATTAACAACTGTAACATTATATGAACAGAAGATCTTTTTACTTGGAGATCTAAAAAAAACATCCTCTCCTTTTTGCACTCGAGCAACTGAACTCTACTGAGGGCAAAAAACTAGCCACCTCCATTCCCACAGACCCACGAGTCAGCCAAGCAACTGTTTAAATTGTTGCTAGTGTGGGCTGTGCTATAAAGAAACAAGGAATTTTTGTAAATTACTCAAATAATATTCACTGGAGATGTTCATAAATCTACTGTCCACTCCTGCACACAGAACAACCCAAAACAGTAATTGGAGCAGTTGTCTGGAAAGGCTCATTACGCAGCTGTGGTGCTGCAGCAAGAAGCAGCAAAGCGTGATGGAGAACTCGGACAACCCATAGTGAAATTTTGGGTATAGTAGAGGTAGCAGGAAAACAACTACATACATAAAACAAGGCTTTCTGTTTGCATCCCATTAATGGCTCTATCATTAGCTCACTGCAAGATCTCATCTCTATGACTTTTTTCCATACACCTTCCAAGAGCATTATACTGCTGTGTACAGTCATACTTGGACAGCCTTAATACTTTTTAAGGTACTTTTCTTTGAAAAACAACCCTTAGATGAGTTGCACAAACTCAGTGTCTGTGCCTTTGTTTCTATTCCAGCCAAGAAGCAGTTTATGGGAGAGCAAAAGCAGCAGATAGGGAGCTCATAGTAAACTTCTCATACCACCATGCACAGCTGCAAAACTGTAGGGTTTGGGTTTCCCTAGTTTACCTCTTTTCATTTTTTCTTTTTTTTGAATTACATCTCTTTTGTAAAAAGCAAAGAAATTTAAAAAGCCACTATATATCCATTAATATACACGTGAAATTAAGACATGTCCTTTCGGCAGAGCCCATCTCTTCCTGTGCATTCAGTGGCTCATGTCTGGCAGTGCACGATCTCAGTACAGTCACAGCTGGGATACACCCTTGAAACAAAGTGTGCTGCAAACATGAACATTTTCACTTTAGTTTACAATTCAGGTTAGAGGGTGAACCAAAAAAACCTAGACTTCTAATATAAGGCATCAGTTTCTGCAGATTAATCATTCCTATGCAGCCAAAGGGAGCTGGTCCAGGTGGAAAGGTTAGACAGAATGATGTGCTTGACAATAGCTTGGGGGGAAAAAAAAAAGGGAGGGAAGAATTAAGCTAGAAAAATGATGCTGGGATGGATCACTTACTCATTGCTTGTGCTGTGAACTGGACCAGTCTGATACGGTTTTGTCTTAATACTATCTGCCAAAGGAGTTTCTACAACTTTGTAATAACCTGCACCAGTGCTCAGCTCCCTACCTTGCTATCTATAAAAATCAAGCCTAGATTTTACTTAGCCCAAGCTAACTCATTATATCCCTCTGAAAGAAACAGGGAATAGAACACCATAACCTTTTACTGATCAGATGATCAATATGCTTCTCAGTTCCCCTTTCTACATTAACAACCCAAACTCTTATGGCTTTTCTGCATAAATCATACTTTCTAAACATCTTGTTAGATAGAAAAGATGCTCTTTCTTGGCATACAATGCCCATAGTACTTGCACAGAGAAGTAAATTATTTCCTGTATCTTACCACAGTATTCCTGATAATACCCCACAGAAGTCACACCCAAATTAGTTTGTGATCCACTCCAAACCTCTATCAAATGTACAATATGACTGAAAACTGCCACAGGAAATACATGCCCAATAATCACTGAAGAGCTCTGTAATTCAAGAGCTTGAGTTGTATTTAAGCCAATGGATATATTCTAGTCTAGTCCTGTTTCTCTTATTTCCCATTACTCTAATACAGCTCTGTTATGAAAGCACCTAAAAATATCTTTCAAAGAAAGTCTTCATCACATAAATGACCAAATCTACTTGCTTACTCAACAAGTTGGTATACATCTGACAAATAAAAATGAAAATGCATTATTTAATCTGAAAAAGCGTGTCTTGAATTTTTGTGTTGCTCACTCTTTCATTTTCTGCAAACTATGTGAAGTATCATGCAATGATGAACATTCATAAAAACCCATAGCACCAGAAAACTTACAAGTAAGGCGTACGATTCAGAAGTGAAACAAAGACATGATGCTGCTGGACAGTTTTTGCCATACAGCTACTTCTATACTCTTCATTAAAGATGTCAAAGAGCAATTCTGAAGAACCTGAAATGGTAACAATGGATCCAGAAGATCTCTTGAATTAAGTCGCAGTGGGATGAGGTAGGGAGGAAGAGTGTATTCTTCCTACTTCTGCCATCCTTTACCTTTCTTCTTAGAAAGAAAAGCAAACAGGAACAGGCTTTTCTACTTCAGACCATTGTCAGTTCAACTGTAATAGGGATTAGAGATACTGAATGTGTGAACTACCCACATAAAACATCTCAAAAGTGAGAGTAGCTGGATTAGCCTGTATAAACTGCGCAGTGTCTGAATCCAAGCTATGCTTTTGTAATCAGTAATGTTTACTGTCCAAAGCAACCTGAAATATTGTTAGATATGTTATCACTCCAATAATGGCTTATATGCTATCATTTTCAAATCGAAATACAAAGACCCGCTATTTTAAAAAGTGTAGGTATCTGGTAGGGAAATAGTATTTAGGGTTTCATTCTATTCCTGCAAATCTGAAACTCTGAAGGAAAGAAATCTGATCTACAAATATATTCTACGTTTCGCCTTTATTCTTCCACATTTTCAAACAAGAAAGATTGCGGGGGTTTTAGGAGCCATGTTCTTGCTCTGATTTTCTATTTCTGGGCATTTAGAGATTGCTTGTTAGATTAGGTGAACAGAGTTACAAAATGGGTTATCATTTCTATCTGTATTGTTGTTCTTACATTTTATTCTCCCTGCAAAACAGGTGCATCTTCTTCTCAGCGTGTCATGCATTTCCTCTTGGGAGAGTGGGTGGTTCTCACAGAAATAAAAAGTATTAAGCTTTGTAAGAAACAAATTCGGCATAAAAACCATTCCAGCAAAACGTAATGCTGCACAATGTAATGCTGCACTCTGATGAAATAATCTCCTTGTTTCTCCTGACACTTCTTTGGAGTCTGTGGCAATGCCTGTGCATTCTCCCTCAAGTTACAACAGTAATATTTCCTAAACCTGGCCGAGCATTTCAGAAAAGAAGACAACTTTTAACCCTCCAGTGTTCAGTTAATCATATTACGAACTTTCATGTCTTGTATTCAATTATCAATTTTCAAAGAACTCAAAATCAGTAGCAGCTAATTTTAATTCCCCCACAGCTGTCATGCCCTCAAAAGGTTTAGCAACCTGAAAAAAACCATACACACAGGGAACCCATGACACAGGAGGATGACTCGTAACGTATCCAAAAATCAAATACAACCAAAAGAAAGATGCTCATCTTTGTACAAGCTGGCATTTCATCTATAAAAGACATCTGTCACTTAGACGTGGCACAACACTCAGCATAATAGGGAGAGCATTAAGTGTTGTAGAGCAGGTTTGAAGCTCATAGAGAGAGAGGTCAGAAAGGGACAGGGACTTCAAGGGTACTTGTCATTAACACCCCTTCTCTGCACAGTCTGCAGAATTCAGGCTCCAAAAAGGTGTCCTAGAACAGTGCAAAAACCACGACCAGTGCTTCCACCAAAAATTGTTTCATGCTGTCTTCAGCTGGGGAGGCGACCAAAACCCTGCATGTTAAATACTAGCATCCAGTTGTGTGCTTTTTTGTGCTTTCTCCATTAGTAATTCCTCATCTTAGAGAAACAATTGACAACTCCTTGAGAGAAACACACATTAAAGAAACTGTGTCAGTCAGACCTATAATGGACAGATAAGCACTGGCCCTTCCCCTTTGCTACAGGGCATCCAGCAGGTTTGAGACATATCACCAAAGGCCAGATTTTCAGGAGCCCAGAAGTCTCAGTTCAGAGCTTCAATCACTCAGCCTGTGCATTGGCTAATCAAGAGAAAGAGAGAAACAAAGAAAGAAAATAGGCTCTAACTACCCCTACCCTGTACCATTTTTTTTAGGACTGGCCTTTAAGTCAAAACCTCAGGAAACGCTTGGCAACTCCTAGGCTTATATATCACTGTACTAAGAGACGGATCTCTTTGAGAGCCCTCACTTCCATTTTTTGCTCTCTGTATGATCACTCCCTTCTCTTTGTATTCCCACCCATGTGCAGAATTCATTAGCCCTTTGCCTTCCATCAGAGCACTTAAATCAAATGAGTATATCTTCCAAAGCATTCAACACCCAAGAGCTTCTGTGAGGAAAAGAAAAAAAATCAGGCATTTAGCTTTTCAATTCCTTTGGGGCTGTGGCCTTCAGCACTTCTTGGTAAGACTTTTAAGGCAAATAAAAGGAAAAAAAAGAGATATATATGTTTCTTACTTCCCCCTTTTCTTGCTGTCTTGTAGCCCATGGGATCAGAGCGGATGGAGATGCGCAAACGGCAGATGTCTGCGACCCAGGAGACCCCAGGTGCTGCACAGGCTCCGCTCAGCGCAGGAAATCGAGGGTCCAATGCCTGCTGCTTTTGTTGGTGCTGCTGCTGCAGCTGCTCCTGGTAACCCCTCTCATTCAAGCCTCTGGGGAACAGAACAGCAGGGGAGGGAGGCAATAGCCAGCATATAGACAACACAAGCCAAACAAAAACACCTGGGTAATTCTGCAAGTCTGGAACTAAGAGAGATTATTGTGCTCTAGTACTATGCACAACCTTCTACTCTAGTTTACTCTTCCTTTTTTTTTTTACTCTGCCATTGAAATAATATTTTTTTTTTTAAATAACCTCTGTACAGTATCTCTGTTGTACTTTTGTTGTCAATACTGTGTAATAGAAGGTCTGTTTTGTGCATGACTGGTTCTTCTCAGCCTTGAGCTGGGTTTCCACTAAAAACTGAAAGCAATACCAGAATATGTTATTGCTTTAGATTCAGGACTGGGACTTAACAAGCAGCACAGACTCTTAAGTGGAGTTAGGAGAAGGTGGCAGAATTTGTAGGTCAGAAAGCAAATAACCAGGTGCCCGACACTGTTCTTTTATTTCAAACGCAACTGGATCTGTTGTCATTAATTACTGTTGCCAGCTGACCCTTAGGATCAGAGACTTCAAACATTGTGGGTATTTGCTGAAGATGAGGAATTAAGCAAAACATAATTCAGAAGAACTCCCATGACAAGTGTTAAGGGGGAAAATTTATCAAGGAATCAAAGCAAGAGGAAAAGGAATCACTCGGTTCCTTAAATTAATGATGTGTTCACATCTCTCTCTTACCAGCTCCTCCAGATCCAAGTGATTTCATTCAAAACACAAGCTTCCTCCACTCAAAGTCCTGTATCTCGTTCAAGGCCAAATGTTAATTAATGGGCAGAACTTGCATTGAAATAAAAAGTCTTAAACAACTGTAGGAGTTCAATCAAAACACTGAGAGCAAGCTGAATGCTTCCTACAAATGCACTATCCAGCACATACATACTTCAAAGCAAGCAAACCTGGCACTGAGGTGAAGGGCAGAAGTCAGAAATAACATTATAGCCCAGACTAGGCAACTAATCCACCGTTTTTTCCAACAGGAGCTGATACAAATGCTCTGGAGTACGCCATTAAAGGCAAGAGAAGGCTGATCACTCCTTTGCTATTAGTACTCAGCTCATCAGAAGCAGAGATACCCACTTCTGCCCTCCCTAATGCAAATAGTTAACATCTTGTAAGGACTAAAGGGTGCTTGGAGTTCTTTTGCAGGATGCCAAGTACTCTGGCTGTGATCCTACTAAGATTTTCAGGAGGTGCTTAGAGGTAAACTATGGGAGAGTTTAAGGAAACATTAAGTACTGTACCCATACGGGATCGCAGTCTGCCGTCTCACAGGATTGCACCTATTTTAAAGCATCCCAATACAAATTCCAGTGTCATCTGCATACCTGTCCAGTGCAATCTTATAGAATCATACATAATGGTTACAGAATGGTTAAAGGTTCCATAAAATGGACTCTCAAGTGGCTCAGTCTAGAGTTGTATTACACAAACACAAGTCTTTCCACAAAAGGGAAAAAATCAGGCACATTTATCTACTAAGAGTACATAAAATTTGCATTATCTTTTAAATTGTTGATAAACTGCTTTTTTGCCATTTTACCTGATATTTTCCAGGATGCTCATTTTCTGTGAACCTCTCTATTCAAACGATTCGAAGAAAGCAATTTACTCAATAGGGTCTGTGAAAGTACCTGAATTTCATGATGCCTAACGTTCCTATTTGCATTTCAGAATCACCTGGGAAACCAGAATAGGCTCCAAAACAGAGCAGCTTGTTTTAGCTTTAAAATAATTTGATTTTTTTTGAGAACAATTGTTTTCTAGTAGCAAGAAATGCAAAACAAACCGTAATTATGCTATTTATATTCCCTATTCATAGCGCTTTTCCTCAAAATAGCTCAAGCACTTTGAACAGAAAAATTATGAATAGGAATAAAAATAGCAATCTACATGAGTCATGCAGCTAAGTTGCTGAACATCCAATATTCAGCATACTCTTAATAGTAGATTTAGAGTGAAGAATTAGTGAAATGAGTCTCAGCTGGATGCTCAGAGCTGGCGTTCATTCCTACAGCCACAACTCAAGCCTCCAACCTGTTACTTTTCCAAATCCTAAGAAGATGCAGTATTGCTCTAGTCTGTTTTTCTTTACCTGGGAAAGAGCCTGTCTTGAGAGGCATTTTCTGAGGAATGACATGTTCTCTTAAAGGAGCTGTTATTGCTTTTGTATTTTTTAGCCTTTCATGCATTATCCTATGAAGACACTTTTCTATTGGATCTGTTGGCTCCCCTCAATCCAAAAATAACTGACAAGCATATCACTTCTTACCTGTGTGTGAGGAGTACATAATATACCACTTTTCATATTAAAAAAAGGCCAGAATCCTATATATCCCAAAAGAACAGAGAACTAACAATACTACTTAGTTTTTAAATCTTTTTCTGAAATGATGAACTGAAATCACAGACTCATAGAATGGTTTGAGTTGGAAGGGACCTTAAAGCTCATCCAGTTCCAACCACCTGCCATGGGCAGGGACACCTTCCACTAGACCAGGTTACTCAAGGCTCTGTCTAACCTGGCCTTGAATACTGCCAGGGATGGAGCAACCACAATGTCTCAAATGAGACATACTCATTTCCAGTCAAACTCAAAATGATATTGAGCAATTATTTATCTGCTTTTCATGCCACAGTCCTCACATTTTTAAGCATGTATTAGCACTTTCTTAAAGCTGCAATCAATTACCACAGTCTGGTTAGATCTACATCTGAAATCCAAATGATGCTTACAGTTCCAACATCACATGCAGAAGTGTCTAGCTTGCTTAAAACTTGTGCTTCAGCTTCCGAACTCTAGGTTTTTTTGTAACATGGTATCACCACTCTAAACCAGAGTCTTGGCAAGCATCATGCCCTATAGATATAAAACATAGCCAAGAAGAAAAAAGATCAAACAACGCCAAAACCAAATCAAACAACCTGGTCTAGTGCAAAGAGTCCCTGTCCATGGCAGAGAGGTTGGAACTAGATGATCCTTAAGGTCCCTTCCAACCCAAACCATTCTGTGATTATATGAGCCTTGAAATCTAACTCATAACCAGTGCATCAGATCTAACTTAAGTAAAAAAATTACATTGGGCATACACAGTATAATAAGCATCAATAGAGAGATCTGCTACATAATAAAGGGTACATGTGCGTACATTTATTCATAGATACATATCCCATATATGTATACACACACGTGTGTATATATATATAAACACGTGTGGTTTTATTTTTATATATATATATATATATATACAGGCACTTGGACATAATTATCTTTATGGGTCCCTTCTTACTTGAGATATTCTATGAATCTATGACCCCTGTATAGAAAATGTATGTGATACAATATTGAATAGCATCCTGCTACATTAAAGTTTGCCAGGTTTATTCAAGTGTAAAATTAATGTCAGAGTGTAACTATGGGTAATGTGGCTACTGTTAGCTTTTGCTACCTAATTTCTTCAAAATATCAGAGGAAAGGCATCTCTTCCTCTATAAAGCTGGCTGAAATTTTGTTTGCTACCTTGCAGTCTTACTGTTAGAAATCAAGATGAAGAGAGAGCAAGGAGAACATCTCATGAACTGCAAGCAGAGGGTATTCCAAACTGCGAGGAAAGGTATGGTCTTTACCAAGTGTTCTGTCAACCTAAAATGACATAAAACCAACAAAACATACTAAATAATTAAAGTGAATTACCTGAATTTGTCGTTTATGTAGAATTTGCAGTTACCTGTCTTTTACTTCTTAAGGAACCAAGATCTATAATCTTTTACCTTATTTATACAGAGGATGTAACTGCATCCCCACTTTCATAGCATGGCAGATCAAAACCAGCACTGTGAACAGTCTCCCTTTTTTCCTGAAATAACTTTAAAACACATCCTGTTCCCACCCAGCAGCTATGTAATGAAGGTAACTGGCAATGCTTAGCCTTACAACAATAATAAAGAGGAGCTCAAATCCTCACGAGAGTCAGGTACTGCCTCTTGCTCAAACAGGCAGGAGCACCTGTAACAGACAGGAGGGTACCTTTTATAGGGTTTTGAATCATTGCTTCTTTCAACATATTTTCATTCAGTTTCTAACGATTCAACAAGGTCTAATGGGTATAGAAAAAATGCTTAGCTTTTTCAGAGGGACTTCTTTGTTGCAATTACTTTGAGCAATAAATTGCAATTTCAGCATTGAAGCACTAGCAATCATCTGCATCTGAGTTTTTGATAAGCACACTTTGAGAAAGTATCTTATGTTTACTAGAGTTTGCACTAGGAAGGTCCAGTGAGGAATGGAGCCCCATGAACCTTGTGATTTTGTTCCATCGTGATGGTAGCTGCAAACAGCTTAACAGTCATTCATTTCTCTCTTCTTGTCCTCTCATTCCCCCTCCTGTCCTCTTCTTCCTCCTCAAGCCCTGCTCCTACTCTTGAAGAAGTAAATGCCTGGGCTCAATCATTTGACAAGTTGATGCTTACTCCAGCTGGCAGAAATGCTTTTCGTGAATTTCTACGAACAGAATTCAGTGAGGAAAACATGCTTTTCTGGATGGCCTGTGAGGAACTGAAACAAGAATCTAACAAAAGTGTCATTGAAGAAAAAGCAAGACTAATTTATGAAGATTATATTTCTATCCTTTCTCCAAAAGAGGTATATTAACTTTCCCCAATATGTTCTTTGATGCTGCTTTGTATAGTTAGTTATATCATGTGTTTAAAGCTACAATACTCAGGGAAAAATTGCCCCTCTATTCCATTGTCATCAAGTAGAAATTCAGGGGGAAAAAAGGCAGACCCATTGTGGAGGATCTCACCTCAAAACTGCTTAAAGTAGTCGAAGCTACTTTCACTGGCTGCAAAAGCTCTGCCTATGCTACCCTGGCATTCTGGTGTGAAATTTTTAGTTTGAGGCACAAATACACAGATGATCACTTTATCCCTGATCAAATTTTGTTGCACGAATGAGTTTTTCTTTATTCTTTGCACTAAAAGGGGATGTGTGCATCTCCCCAAAAGCACAGCAACCACAAGTAGTGTTATTTGCAAAGCACAAATTACTCAAACAGCAGCTGACAAAATACGGCAGAGAACAAACATGCTGACTTCCTGAAAAATTTCAGAACTACTCATCACTGTTGCTGTTAGCAAACGTGTCAAGTTTTGAAGACACCTCAGTTCAGTTTGAATATAATCCTGCCAAGTAGACTGGAAATTTAAACCTTCCAGTATCATTGCAAAACTCAAACTTGATTGTTTGTGGTGCAAGCTATACTTACGTATTTATAAAAATGCTCTTTAAATCTAGTCAGCCTATTCCAGCAATACTAATGTCTCTCTACTGACACTAGAGTCTTGCAGAAAAAAAGAAGAGAACATCATTTCTATGTTGAATAGAGTCATTATATAGCCGTATCTGTGGTTCCCAGCAATTCACCCTGATTTCGAACAGGAATTTGATTAAGCAACAGCTTAAAACAGGGTTACAGTTTCCGTCTGCGTCATACTGCTTGCTCCAAATTCAGTCTCTTTACAATAGCACTAACTCCCAAGGAAACGAACTGTCACAAAAAATTACAAATTCTCTCTATTACAGAGCAGGAAGTTGGTCTGGAAATAGTCCACCGGTCTCTCAGGTTTCAGTAATAATGGGATCACAGCCAGCCTTGTCCAGAGTAAAGTCGCCGCAGGGAGAAAATTTCTGTATCCATACTAAAGATACTACTACTTCCAAATTTCAACACAGTCATTTTCTGTCCAAGTATATTTATCAGTTTTTACACTCTTGAAGGATACCAGCTGAAATCACAGAATGTTTTGGGTTGGAAGGGGCCTTAAAGTTCATCCACTTCCAAACCCCCTGCCATGGGCAGGGATACCTTCCATTGGGCAGGAACACCTTCCATTAAACCAGGTTCCTCAAAGCCCCATCCAACCTGGCCTTGAACACTGCCAGGGATGGGGCAAGCCACAGATTCCCTGGGCTTCCCTGTTACAGTGCCTCACCACCCTCACAGAAAAGAAATTCTTTTTAGTGTCTGATCTATATCTACCCTCTTCCAGTTTAAATAAACAAGACTGCCTTTTCGAACAGTAAAACAAACCTAAACCCCCACATGTACTATGCGCCAGTATTATTTACGTGACTTTCTGTTTTAATATGCAGGTCAGTCTGGACTCCAGAGTAAGAGAAGTTATTAACCGAAATATGCTGGAACCCTCACAACATACCTTTGATGACGCACAGCTTCAAATTTATACCTTAATGCACAGAGACTCCTACCCACGGTTTATGAACTCTGCTATTTATAAGGACTTGCTTCAGTCCTTATCTGAAAAATCCATTGAAGCATAGAATTTTTTCTTAAATGTATTTATTTTAAAACAAACAGAACTCTGGGCTACATCAATCCACAGGGAATTTAGAATTAATCAGATATTTACCTGAAAATAACTCAGGCAAGTTTTACTACAGACTGAATGATTTAAACCCGCACAAGGCTCTGACACAATCAGCTAACTACAATTTCTGATCAAATTCAGTGTGTCTTTGCAAAAGAGAATGAAGAGAATTATGAGAAAATGTTGTTCAAAAACTGCAGTATTTCTTTTTCTTCAAACACAGCATGCAATTCAGAAGCAAAACTGTTAGCAGCGTATGTCGGAGGCACAGATACCAACTGAGCACGAAGACTAGATTTTATTTATAAGTGGATTGTTAGAATTTTCTGGAAAACCAAACCAGTTGCCCCACCCACACTGTGCCCAAAATGAAAACTGTACTGTCAATATCTGGGTTACACGAGACAAAAGTTCCACATATACCTGGCTTACGTACGGTCCACTTCTCTTGGTATATTTAATGCACATATGGTGCACTAATGGAAATCGGTATGGCAATCTCAAGTTTATGGAAGCTAATGGTTGAAATCATGCTGCCTATAAAAATCTTTTGCTGAAGAATTGTTATTTTACTATTAGAGTTTTCTGAATCCATTTTTAAGTTCATACTGTTGAAGTTTATAAAGTTAAATTATTTACTTAAGAGGAAGAAGAGTCTGGGCATTTAAATTCCAAAACAAAGCACAAGAATTCTCACATAATCTTCTCTTCCCTTGGTAGGTAGATGTAAAAACCCTTCACTATTTGCTCCTGAGTGGATGGCAGTATCAGCCATCTTCATTTTGTACATATTAAATTGTCCCATTATTCACAGATCTTGTAAGGTTTCTATTCCAGATACACACATATTTAATCGAGAAAAAGAAGGAAGCTAGAACTATTCTGTTCTGATACAGCACTATTTCAGACTGTCCAAAAGAAAAGCAACAGCTCTATCCACTAATAAACCATGTTCATTTACAGTATCCCCAAAGCATTACACTTTATTTCTGACTGCATCTCAAAAATCAGTAATCACAGAAAATACTAGGAAGAAAGTAAGTTGAATCTGCACAATCTATGTGTGGATTATGTACGTTATTCTATGTATAACTATGTATGTTACTCTAACAACTTCTTTATTTTAAATTTCAAGATTCACTACAATTCCACTAAATTAAAGTTTGGAGTTCACAGTGGACTTCCACTGAATCGTGTTTTTTCCTGTACATTTATTTAAATGAACCAAATGACACATATAGGTAGGAAAAGAACATATGGGAATCAGAAAGAAAAAAATAATACCCCTAGAAGGGAAGAACCAGGCAGGCACAGTTCAGTGGCATTCACTGTAACCTTTCTAAAGCCTACTCTTTGCCTAATTCCAGCGCTATAAAAAGCACAAAATGGAGACTTTCTCTGATAAAAGACAATGGGAATAACAAGGCAAAATTTAGAATATTAGTTTAATTGTTTCCTCAATGCACTCAGCAGGAGACATGTTCTCCCCTTAAATCATTTGCATTATTAAACAAATAATGATGAGATTTTTCATTACACAGCACCGCAGTAGAATACTCAATCCATGGTAAGTTAACAATACCTACGGATCAGTTTCCATCATCTCCTTCCAAAACAAAAAAACTATTCAACCTGTCAGCACAAAAAAGTAAACCAAAAAACTTAACCAGAAAATCAAAGTGCTCTTATCCTCTGAAGCACAACACTGGATGACTGAGTTAAGAGGAAGACCTTCAATATACTGCTACTTAAGACACAGTCTAGTTAGCAGTCACCACCACTTAACATACCAACACTGGTTATCTCAGCTGAATTTCTAGTAAACATACCCAAAGCACTACCAACACAATTTCAGTTTACATAAAGTATTAAACTGTAGGTAGTAACTTCTACAAAGCAAACTAGACATACTGCTAACGCAGGGTTCATGGGGAACTTGCAGTCAAATTTATGAAGCGGCATGTACCATACAATCAGATTGATCTGGGTTGGAAGGGTCTCCTAGTCATCAGAAAGATCATATAGTTCCAACCTTCCTGCCATGGGCAGAAACACCTTCCACTAGACCAGGTTCCTCAAAGCCCCATCCAACCTGGCCTTGAATATTTCCAAGGTTGAGGCAGCCACAACTTCTCGGATTCACCATTCTCATAGTGAAGAATCTTTCTAATACCTAATCTAAATTTACCCTCTTTCAGTTTAAAGCCACTCCCCCTTGTCCTATCACTACATGCCCTCGTAAGAAGCCCCTCTCCAGATTTTTTGTAGGCTGCCTTTAGGAAGCTGGTCTAAGGTCTCCCCAGAGCCTTCTCTTCTCCTGAACAACCTCAGCTCTCTCACAGCCCATCTTCACAGCAAAGGAACTCCAGCCCTCTGATCATCTTTGTGGCCTCCTCTGGACTTGGTCCAATGGGTTCATATCCCTCTTGTGTTGGGGGCCCCAAGGGCTACATGCAGTACCCCAGGTGGGGTACCATGACAGTGGAGCAGAGAAGCAGAATCACCTCCCTTGACCTGCTGGCCATGCTCCTTTTGATGCAGCCCAGCATACGCTTGGCATACTTGTTTTAATCAGGGTGGGTAAAAGCACTCTAAAATTCTTAGGTTAACAAAGTAAGTTTAACTAGGTCAAATTCAGCTTGCTAGAAAGATCAGACACACATATCAAAAGAAGTTCAAAGTGTGTCATTTCACAAAATGGAGGATTTCATTTCTTTTAAGTTATCTCTCTTCCCTGCAAAGATACCTCATTAAGAGCTGGAAGACAGGCCAAACACTCATCCTTTATTTCACACAATACATTCTATTATTCTGCAAGAAAGAAACAGATGAAATGAGAGAGGAGAGAACTATATTGTTTTGGGCAGTTCTGTGGTTACCATATGATTATTAAAATAAGAAAATATTTTCTAAGCTTATTTTCCATGTGCCACAACTTCTAAGCAATTAGAATTCTCTAGGCAATTTTCCTTTTCTTTCTGCAATGTGCATCTTTCCTGAAAAATTGTAACAAATTTTAATGCTATGGTTTAAGTTTAAGTTTATGCCCAACACCAACAGCAGAACACTGGTCCCTAGATACCCCGAGAGAATCTCTTGAAAAGCCCAAACAGACAACACACTCCCCTAAATATGTTGTGATTCTGAGACTGCTTAATGCTGGATTTAATTGAAGCAGGAAAGAAGGGGGGCAGAAAAGGAAAAAGAAAAAAGGAGGAAAACAAAACTCCACCCACACAGAATGCAGGGTTTTAACTACAGTTCATTACTATATACTTGCTCATTATGCACCAACTTTTCTCAGGGCAAAAGTGAGTCAGTCTGGAAAAGAAAAGATACTATAGAGAAGGTATTACATGACCAGCAGGAGAAAATCATACTGACACAAGATATTATTTATAATTCATCAAGTAAGAAATTATCACAAAATCAATTTATCCTGGCTTGAAAATAAGCATGGTTGGTTTGTCTTGGCATTTATCTAACTGCAGGGTATCATTAAGCTCTAATAACTTTCCAGTCCACTGGTATTCTTTCTTTAGTGTTTGCACTTCACAAACCAGTAACTCCCACAGAACATGTATACTGTTAAAGACTGCTCTTTTCACCAGCCTGCTAAGCAGTATTAAAATTGCATGGGCTCCTTCAGCCAACATATTGTGCTTTATATAATGACCTTTAAATTCCAAAGTCATTAGCACAATACAAACAAAAGAAAAAAAATATATATATATATTCTGAAGGGCTCTACTATCTGCAAATTAAAATGTATCACACAAACATCATGCACTTGTGCACTTCCTGATTACAAAGGATATCTGAAAACAAAAGAAACTGATGAGACTAGCACAATGTCAAGTGATTTTTGAACAAGTGTGCCCTGAATAGTACTTAAGAACACATCTTCTGTCATGAAAGGCATCAGTATTGCTTCAATGACATTAATGAAAGATTTTCTGTACTAATGTTGTAACTAAATTAATCCCAAGCCTTTTAAAATGGTGATTAAATGGTAAATCAAGATTAATGATGATCTAGTAAAACAGAAGCTAACATACAGCTGTATGAAATTGTACTTAAAAAGGTAAACTCTTCAGTTTTATTTATATGAATGACTACTAATCACAGAATCACAGAATCCCAAGGGTTGGAAGGGACCTCAAAAGATCTAGTCCAACTCCCCTGCAAGAGCAGGGTAACCTAGAGTACATCACACAGGAACTTGTCCAGGCGGGCCTTGAATATCTCCAATGTAGGAGACTCCACACCCCCCCCCAGGCAACCTGTTCCAGGGATCTGTCACTCTCACAGTAAAGAATTTTTTCCTGATGCTCACATGGAACCTCCTATGCTCCAGTTTACACCCACTGCCCCTTGTCCTATCACTGGACGTCACTGAAAAAAACCTAGCTCCATCATCCTGACACTCACCCTTTACATATTTGTAAACATTGATGAGGTCACCCCTCAGTCTCCTCCAAACTATAGAGACCCAGCTCCCTCAGTCTTTCCTCATAAGGGAGATGTTCCACTCCCTTAATCATCTTTGTGGCTCTGTGCTGGACTCTTTCAAGCAATTCCCTGTCCTTCTTGCACTGCGGGGCCCAGAACTGGACACAATAATCCAGATGCGGCCTCACCAAGGCAGAGTAGAGGGGGAGGAGGACCTCTCTCGACCTACTAACCACACTCTTTCCAATGCACCCTAGGGTGCCATTGGCCTTCTTGGCCACAAGGGCACATTGCTGGCTCATGGTCATCTTCCTATCCACCAGGACCCCCAGGTCCCTTTCCCCTTCGCTACTGTCCAGCAGGTCAGCCCCCAACCTGTACTGGTACATGGGGTTGTTCTGTTACAAAAAGTTGGAAAGATAATACAGCCACTTTTTGCAGAATAAATAGTTCATGTTGATGAATCTGAGTTCTACCTAAACTGGTACGGGCTGTAAGTTTCAATTTAAAATTCACATTTGTGACAAGTGGAATCCTGAATTCTGGATAAAACCAAGACACTTCCTTTGCCACACTTGGAAAGTGCAATAAAAGGCTTCCAAGTGGGATTCACAAAAGCCAAGCTCATTAAGCAGATATTTACCTTCTGCTTAGTGCTAGTAAAAAAGATTAATTTGGTAAAAGATAGTTTAAACCCAACATTTTCTCCTGAGCAAGTTAACAATTATATATGAGGAAATGCCTTCTAACAAAGGATATGGAAGCTGTGTTTCCTGAGCAGCAGAAAACTCTAGCCTTCCTTAAAGAAGAAAGACAGCATCCTTTAAGAACTACACACACACTTTAACAGGAACACAGCCCCTTCTTTTTCTCTACCAGATTACTGTAAAAACTAGCTTAAATTGTACGGTAATTGTAGGGTTAAATTGTATTCCAGTCTCTCTTTCATTTGAGAGGATTAAGATGTCCATAGAGGTAATAAACAAACCTGCTATTCTTGGATGGGAGAGATTCATCACCAGTTCTGCTGGAATGTTTCACTGCATAAAACATCTGAATGTACTAGGTCAGCAGTGGCACGACTGCATTTCAACGGATAAAGCAGCCAGCTTGTAGAAATGAGATGCTGTCCCAGTCCCCCTTCTCCATCCTTCTCCTATATATCCTTTAGACTTCACATTCTCTCAGACACAGGAGAGCAATTTCAGACAGCTGAGAAAACTGAAGCACCTTCTGAACAGAGGTGCACCCGAAGCTTGCTACAGTGCAGTTTTACTTCTGGATTTGGGTAATCAAAACAAAGCATGAACAGAACTTTAGGCACCTATGATGTTTTTTGGACCTACTTCTTGGAATTCGTCTTTCACTGTGAGAAAAAAACTGTTCTTTTTACCTCGGGGACAGAAGGGAGAAAAGGTGAAGGCTGTTACTCAGACATAAGGTAGCATTAGGTGAAACAACATTTTAATATAAGAAGAACATGGATCTGTTTCAGTGAATCCAGAGGAGGCCACAAAGATGACCAGAGGGCTGGAGCACCTCTGCTATGAAGAGAGGCTGAGACAGTGAACGTTGTTCAGCCTGGAGAAGAGAAGGCTCCAGGGAGAACTTAGAGCAGCTTCCAGTACCTAAAGCGGGTCTACAAGAAATCTGGGGAAAGACTTTTTGCAAGGGCACGTACCTGTAAGACAAGGGGGAATGGCTTTAAACTGAAAGAGGGGAGACTTAGATTAGATATTAGAAAAAAATTCTTCACTATGAGGGTGGTGAGACAGTGGCACAGGTTGCCCAGAGAAGCTGTGGCTGCCCCATCCCTGGCAGTGTTCAAGGCCAGGTTGGACAGGGCTTTGAGCAACTTGGTCTAGTGGAAGGTGTCCCTGCCCATGGCAGGGGGGTTGGAACTACTTGTACTTCTAAGGTCCCTTTCAACCCAAACCATTCTATAGTTCTATGATTTGAACACCTACTTGGATACCCCTATATCACAGAAAGTGCTATTGCTGTTGTAGTTCTTTATTAGTAAAGTCCAGATATAATCTGGTAAGTATAGAAAGACAATTACTGTGTTTTCTCAAAGGGTAGCTCTCTTAAGTGTCATAATCAGGCACAATTATTAAGGGGCACATAGCATGAGGAAGGTTATGTAAACCGACCTGTGCCTGCCCTGTATATATGCTGTGAACATCAGTGAAAATTGAGGTCTGCTTGGCATCCAATTTGCACTAATTTTTAACACAATTTTTTGGACTTGCTTCTTTAAAAAGGTCTCCAAACAAAGCACTGTAATTGATATTAAACATCTGCCATTAATTTGTTGCTGTCTTAACTTAAACAACGAATTATGTATCTTTAAGTAAAGTCTTCACAAGAAACCCTGCCAAAGGACCTACACACAGGCTAAAAATAAACCCATTCTGTTAGCAGAAAAAACGTTTTCTGAATTAAGGTGTTAACATCAAATAAATGCAGTTAAAGATGTTTTTCTATAAAGTTATGCAGGAAACTTTGAATGCTGAACAATTTTCTGCCTAAAAAAATGTTTGTAACTAAGCTTCTATTTTAAATGCATTTCTTTTCTTGTACAGGCTGACTGGAAAAGCTTGCTCTGTAAAGTATTTACCAAACATTTCTTGTCTTCCAAAGCTCAAGTGTCATCATCCTATTTCCAACTCATTTGTTATAACTGCCACCATCACACAAAAATATTCAACATAGAAAATCTTGTTTCCCCTTTACAGTCAAGGAACTTATTCTCCAGAAACCACACACACTCTTCCCATCCCCCCAAGAATCTTTTACACATTTTGGGATAGACCTCCTCACCCCCAGGCTTTGATACATTAAATAATATAAACTTCAGTATAATGAAAGAATTTAATCTCTTCTAAAGACATTGACATGTTTTGCCTTGAAAGCACATTTGAAAATACTTCTAAACATGTGCACTGTTAAAAAGCAGGCTCTAACAAAGCAGTATTTGTATCATTCCACATATGGAAAAGACCATAACTTTAATAACATATTCTCACCTGCAGGTCTATGATTGAGATCGGATACTCTACATCTCAAAATTCAGTTTATGAACAAAAATCCATGTTATTTCTATGAGGTGAATTTAGTATTGCCTCCCCAGCCTGTTTATATTGTGATGAATTGGTTAGCTGGTGTTATCAGGACAGCCTACAACACAATGCCTTTGCTTATTTATAAAGTCTAAACAAAACTTGGTTGTCGAATACATTAAGCAAAACTGAACACCCGAATCAGATTCAACCTACTATTTTAAGACATTGCTAGAAATAATACCTACTGATAGAATGTCAAATACATGCTTTGGGCAATAAAATATATTGCATTGATCAAAGCTGGTTACATAAGCAAGCTTAATGAACAAAAGAGGTCATCATATCCACTAATAAATTTCTAAACCCCATGATCACAAATTTAGTCCCAATTCAGAAGCAGTATGTACAAACTGGAGAGTTAACTAAATTGTGATTTAGTTAACAACTGAGTTTAACATAATTAGATGAAGTTAGACACCTTTTCTCTTTGCAAAACTTGTGAACGCTAGCAAGAAACAAATTCTATTCTTACAGCTGAACAAATGTGAAAAGGTAAAATACATATCCAGGGATATGTTTTAGACAACAAAAATTCCAGTACATTATTCACATAGTTAGAAAAAAACAAGCCAATTACCAAAATGTTTAGTTGGTAAAAGTTTAATATCAACTTACTTATAAAAATGAAAAAATATTTTAACATTCACCATACAATTGAGCAACCTGGCCCTAATGACTATCAGCTACAGGAAGGCATTTAAGGAAATGATGGCTGTGTCAAAATAAAGGCTAACTTCAGGCATGTATGCTGCTTAAAAAAAAAAAAAAAAAAACCAAAACGAAACAAAAAAAAAAAAGGAAAAAGAAAATAAACTCCAAATTTCTCTCACTTGCAGGAAGCTAGATGCTTAGCCTAGTTTTTAAAGCCAATTACAAAATCCTCTTTCATACTGGTCCAGATGTCTTGACAATTTCTTCTTCTAACAGAACTGTCAAAAGAAA